CCATCCCGCACATGCGATACTGCCATGTCAGCTTCCTTGCGTCTCTTCCCGACCGTAGGGATTGGATCCCCAATTCTGCCCTGACGGCTGCATTACTTGCGCGCTTGGAGCATCCTAGGAGGGGGGGGGGTGCTTAATCAATCACGGGGTTACCCCGGTCGGTCCGCTGTCTTCTCGTTTGCTTTTTTCCCTCGCCATCTCGCCCGTGTGCTGCACCCATCCCACCCCATTGGTTGTGGCTACGTCCGTGCTGTTGCCGGGCTAGTTGTTTCGCTTGAGCGCTCGTTGCCGGCTATATCGCCTCCTCTTCCTTCTTGTGCCAGGAGGCCATGAACCTCTCAGCTCTCTGTAGTATCCCCGTATTCCACGGTACACCCCGCTCCATCTTCGCAGCTTCCATCCAGTTGACTACGGGACTCCGAAGAACATGGCTCGGTGTCCGTCGATCCTTGCTCTGCCTCGAACATTTCGACGTCGTCCTTCAGGTACATCTGCCAGCTTTGCCCCTGTTGCCGTAAACTTCATGCATGTTCTAGGGCGAACGATTGCCCCCCCCCCGCCCCCCAGTGGGGGGCTGGGGGCCAGCATGTGTGGAACGGGTGCAGCAGCGGTTGGATAGGCAGAGGAAGTAGAGACGATGATGACATCGGTACGAAAAAGGGTAAGTGATGTCTTATAGTAGATAGAGTCTTACAGTAGACGATGTGAGATCCAAGCGCCCGTCCGTCCGTTGCGTAGTAGATAGATGTGCACAATCGGCGGCCAAGAAAACAAAATGAAACTTGATCAAATCGAAAGGAATTTGGTGCGTCGCTGTACAACTCTACACCCGCGTTTGCAGCGAGCGCCGAATCCATGCATATCATGAGAAAAAGCTACACGACCACTTCGGAATATCTGCCACGCTCGTTTTGCGTGTTGCCATCTTTGCTCCTCAAGGGATCCATGCTCGCCGGTAAACCCACACCCTTTTGAACCCTTTTAGCTCTTGCCCCGAAGCTTTTACGGCACGAACAAGGGTGTCCGTAAAGAGGCATCCCGCACACACACCTGAACGATAGATAGATAGACTACCTTTCCGTCCCCCCACCCGGCCAGGCCGAAAAAACGTTATGGCTTTTTGTTTCTCATGGGGTTTAGAGCCCACTTCACGCAAGCTACATATGGGGGACATATCGTGTTCTACTAGTGACGACGTTATACATACGCGTACTTCGAGTGGGTGAGGAGCGCTCTTGATGTGTTACGTACGTCCCCTTTTGGTGTCATCAGTCATCATCAAGAGGGCACGTGGATTCAAATACGTGATGCCCGTCCCCCCCCCCCTCGGCCTTGTTTGCCATCGGGGTTTGGGTTTTCGTCGCTTGGCAACGACGTTGTAAAACAAGCCGCCCCCCCCGGTGTTTACCATCGGGGTTGGGTTTTCGTCGCTTGGCAACGACGTTGTAAAACGAGCCCCCCGCTCGGTGTTTGCCATCGGGATTGGGTTTTCGTCGCTTGGCAACGACGTTGTAAAACAAGCCAATTCACTTCGTGAACTCGGCAACCAGGTTACCGTTTTTTTTTTTTTTTCCTCGTTTTTTTTGTTTTTGGCGGTAACCATAATGGTGGTCGAGTAGATCATGTTGTGCGGGGTGGAGGACCCTCACTCCGCGCAACGGGGGATGATCGCACCACGTTGTGTTAAATGGTCAAGCACCCTCGAGGCAGTTACACAGTGCTTACAACTGTCTCTGGAAGTGAAAGCACCAGAAAATAAATTAAGTCATACGTAGCTGTCATCCGTACGCAAGGAAGTAAGCACAAGATGCCGAACACTCTTAGCAGGATGCAGCTCACCCTTCATGCGACTCGCCAAATACCTCTCGGTGCTTCGCGCTTGGTGATGTGAGAGCCTGATCCGGTGAGAACCCGGTGTGCTCCGTCCCGGCTTTGTAGGGATGCGAGGTCAATGGTCTAATGACTACGGCATGCACGACTATGAGTACACA